GCCAGACGTGCGACTGCAGAAAGAAAACTATAGCGCCCATCCACGAGAGACGGCAACCGTATATCTGATCATGGCTAGGTGGGTGCCAGAAGGCGGAAACCTGGCGACATGAGCTCCCCCTAATATCGAGAAAACGTCAAGGTCCGTCAATACCGGCGCGCTCAGATTCAAAAGTCATCATCGCTCTCTGCCTTCTTCTTTTTCCGGCTTGTCGCCTTCTTCTTCTTGCCATCCACGTCCATGTCGCCCTCACTCTTCTCGGGCGCGTCGGCGACCTTGGACACGATCTCGTTGAGGAAGTCGAAGCGGTCGGTCTTGGTGATGGCTTGCTTGAGGTGGATGGAGCCGACGCGCTTGGAGTTGCGCGCTTTGGCTTCGGCGGCGGCTTTGGTGACGAGGGAGATCATGAAGAGCTCGAGCGCTTTCGCTGTGGAGAGTTAGATATGCTGGAGAGTGTCGCGCGGGCAGTACGTACAAACGACGACGGGCGTGACCTGGGCGACCTTGCCGACATCGTCGTCGGCCTGCATGATGCGCTTTATGCGGGCGACGGGGAAGTGGTTCTTGATGGTGATGTTGTCCGTGTTGGGCGTGTCTGCCCCGCCTACGCCATTGCTCGCGTCTGGCATGGCGGGCACTGACGCGTCGGGCAAGTAGTCTGCATCCTGCATGCTCTCCTCCTTCTTGACGCCGCGAGGCATACGAGGCGGTGGCGCAGGGTCGCTCTGCAGCGGCGGATCGGTCGTGGGCGGTGGGAGGGCGGCGCGACGTTGTCGAGGGGGCCGCGGTGTCCTGGATGCTGGGGGTGAGTCGCTGTAGGCTGCTCGGCGTAGTACGAGCAAGATAAATCTGGCGACGGTGGAGCCCACCTGCCGTCCATAGGCTGGCGTGGGGCCCGTGCTCGTGGCGCCTCTGCGACAAAACCACACGCCTGTTCCAAGCTTCTCTCTCCAGCCTCGTCACGTCCATCGTCCCGTTCCAGGGCCGGTGGATGCGCGTCGCCAGCAGTGGGTGATGACACGAGCACGCCAGAGACCTCTCCGCCTTGTACAAACAGCATCGTGGTGCCTGCTCCGGTTCGCAACGACGAAACCCGCCCCCAGTCGCCTGAGGCCGTGGTTGATCGGCGCGCCGGCGGCAGGAGTCGCTGATGGTGTAATTACTTGATCTAATCTGACACTCTGCCGCGCTTCTTTGTTGACGAGGCGTCTTGACCTGACCACGCTTCGGCTGGTCTGTCGCGTCCCCTGGCTTCGCACGCCGATGCTGGGCGTCGCATATACACAATACACATACCATACACCTCACACGCCTCATGTGTCTTTTGTGATGCTGCCATCCCTTTTGTGCCCCTCTCTACCCGGGCCTTCTCTCAGCCATGTCTCTGCGAGGCCGTTCTTCGGGTCGTCTTCAGGGTAGCCTCGCTGCCGCCTGACGTCCAGAACCGCCTGCCGTATCCGCCGCGTGCACTCTTTGCGTATGCTGACAGCCTCGTCGGAATACTTCAGTGCGTCACTGACAACACCGACTTGCAGTTTTCCTCCCTTCTTCTCCTCGTTTGCACGCATCTGTTTCCAGCGTGCGCGCAAGTCGCCGAACACCTCCTCAGCATCCAGCTTCTCGCCAAACGTCACCCTGACGTTCTGGAACGGCCGTGGTATAAAGCGCGGGAAGGTGCGTGTCTCGTGCATGATATTGTCGAAGCCTTCAATGAAGATGGGGACGATGTCTGGCATCGGCTCACTCTCAAGTACCAATCGAGATACTCCCCACTTGAAGTAGCGCATGATCCTGTCTTCCGTCTGGTGTATCATGCCTTCAGGGAAGATGTGCACCCACGCATGCCGCCGATTCAGGTATGCCGAGGGCGCAGGAAACGTGTCTTGTCCGTTTGTAGAGAATGTGAGGTGGCCGTCGGTAAAAGGATCGATGAGGTCTGGGCTCTTGAGCGATGTGGTAGGCTTTTCTGGTGGTTCTTGCTCGTGGAACGGGCCGTGTGAGAGAAGACGGATCGCTTGCGTTACGGTGGGTTGGAATAGGCCGCCGAACTGGGAATGCGCCGAACGATGTGTGGGTAGAACCTGTCCAAAGGTAAAGAATGTCGAGAGTCCTCTGCTAGGGCGTCAGCCGAGCTTTCTGTGCATTTCAGAGGTGACATACTTGTTGGTGAAGCATAGATCATAACTGCCTAATCCCCAGCGCAGATTGTCTGGGGTGAATATGTAGGCGAGTGGTAGTATACCCCATAGTATGGGATCATCCATTCTGTATAGATTGTGTGAGCGCAGTCCATCCATGACGATTCGGAGATTATGGCAAACGTACGTACACGGAGATGTGGTTCGAGACTGCACGCTCGTCAGTACTGGGCATTTCCTGGATTCTTGATAGTACAAGCACTTACCAGTTATGAGGCCTCGTTGCCTACTCGCTGGATCCTCTCTTTCATCCAATAGCTTCAGGAAGCCCTCCATTCCGTGCGTCTCAACCTTGCTCAGGCCATTCAGGAATCCTTTGCACAAGAGCCCGACAGCGCCCATGGTGAAGGCCGACGCAGCGCGCCATGGCCCGCTGGGGGCCTCCGGCTGCTCCTCTGGTCGCATTGGTGTAGGCGTGGGGTTGAGGGCGACATGTGAAGATTTCGCGCTCAATAGCTGGATGCCGCGGCCCACCAACGTCACTGCCAGGGACCGGCATTTTGGCGACACCTGGGCAGTGACTAGCGCGATTGCGGCCTGCACGTGCGCCAAGTGGCTGGCTCTTCCGCTTCAACACGCCTTCTTCCATCACCACAGCAAGAACTCGACACTGTACAAGACTAAACTTGGACTTGCGGGTCTTGCGCATCATCTTCGGAGCTTGTTCACGGGATTTCATAGCTGCGCCTGGCACTGTTGCCCAGATTGACCTACCTACTGAGTCCATCACGAAAAGTCGCGTCTCGATTTGCGAATCTTGAATGCTGAACATAACCCAACATGCCGCCCCCAAAGACTATCTTCACGTCATACGAGCGGAATGCCCTCAAAGACCGATGGGGCTCGCAGGCTACACGTCTGACCCGTGACTCTTTTCTACCTTTTGGCTCCTGCCAACTATGTCTTCTTCCTTCAGTAGACCCAGTGTGCTGTTCACAAGGCGATCTGTTCTGTCGCGAGTGCGCCATGACCAATCTTCTGGCGCAACGAAAGGAAATGAAGCGACTAGAGAAGCTGAACGAGCGCCAGAAGTTGGAGGACGAGGATCAAAAGCTGCGAGAAGAGGAGGAAGCGCGGCTGCTGGCAGTTGAGGAATTCGAAGCTGTTCAGATGGGGCTTTCGGTCAAAGCAGGTGCATCAGCACGAGTCGTTGGAAGGCAAGGCAGCAAGATCATGGTCGAAGAAGAGCAGGATGCCAAGGCTGGAGAGGCCAGAGGCACGAAACGCAAGTTCGAAATTGACCAAGAGGAACTCAAGCGCATCGCACACGAAGAGCAGAGCAAAGCAAAACGCACATTCGACGCCGAGCGCAAAGCAGCCAAGGGTCATCTCCCCAGCTTTTGGGTTCCCGGCGAGACACCCGACCAACACCACAAAAGCGCAGAGAAGGCGAAACAAACGCCTGTATGCCCGTCAAGCCACCCAGACCAACCGCACAGCCTGTCGCTGAAGAGCTTGACGAGCGTCAACTTCCACGAAGAAAAGTCGTCCGAGACGGGAAAGTCCGCTCGCACATGTCCCAGCTGTCAAAAAGCGCTCTCAAACAGTACGAAAGCCATGCTCGCTATACCTTGTGGTCACGTCCTATGCAAACCATGCGTTGATAAGTTCCTCCGGCCAGAACATCGCCATCAGCGAGATGCACATGATCAAGGACCGGAGCCCGAGACTGTTCATTGCTATGTATGCGATGCGGATCTTACGACAGTTCCAGACGCCAAGGAAGGCAAGAAGAAGAAAAAGGACAACGAGAAGGAAAAGGCGCCCAAGCCTGGACTTGTGGAGATAAGGAGTGAAGGTACCGGGTTTGCAAGTGGTGGAAAGGCGATGGTCAAGAGAGAAGGAGTGGCATTTCAAGTATAACAAGTCTTTTCTGATCGACCGAACTACGGGCGCTATGACAAAAGGCCAGCCACCATAGACTGCCAGTGTTTGAATGGTAGACCTCGCGGTGTACACATACTTCCGATATCTCTGCTTTGTGAGACTCCTTGCTGGACAATGGCAATCACCTACTCCACGATTTGATTCGAAGGATTTCTTTTAGACGGCGGTGGGATTGCGAAACTCTGCAGTAAGAGCTCGGAAGACGGCACCGTATTGGACTTCGATCTGGCGTCATGTATTCAGCAGTCACCGTTCTCGAACGCGATGGCCATCTTCCGGGCAAAAAGTTACATGTTCATCACACCCAATACGCAAATTCGGAGTAGACACACAGCTAAGTGCAGCGTTTTCCAATCTCGCTGCCATTATATGAACGGAGCTTAGTGTACTCAGTTACCTGGGAGACTGGTAGGAAATTACCCAATTGTGCAAGGGCTAGAAAGCCACGCCGCTGTGCTGGGTCTCCATTATCGGTAATTTCCTTGCATCTCCCAACTCTGGGCATTATTGTTTCAAACGCGATCGATATGTTGTCAGGCAGTCTCGCCAATGATGCGCTGCTGCTGGTGTGTAGGTATGTTTGCGCCGTTTCACCGTGTGCGGGAAAGACCTCATCACCCACTCACAAGCCCCACTCTAGCGTGATTGCCAATACAGTCAGGGTCGATGTGCAGGATGAGCCGACTGTCCCCTATCAAGAACGACGGATCCTACGAGCTGAACGCGCGGCGTACGGGTGTGAACTGAGTGAAAGGTTTCCGTGGAATCTCTCGTTTGTGCGCTAAGAAAGTTTTGAGAAACTTGCTCACGACGGGTTTTGTATTTGAAATCTCTACGACAGCCGGACAAAATCTCTTCGCACGCGATTCTCTTCCCCACGATACGAACAGCATGTTCAAAATCGTGTTGTTCAGTATGCTTTATGCTTACTTCGAGGGGCTTTGCAAGCAGTACCGCGAAACTCTGTCGGTATGTTCTTTCCGCACGGTTGATACGACGCCGCTCGACACTCGACATTTAATATCAACTATACTCACATCTTATCAGGGCTTCAAACTCACCAGGCCGTTCTTCAAGCCATCCCTCGCTGTTCCGAATGAACAGTCCGTACCACCGATCCGGGAGAAGTGGTGTAAGGTTTCCCCTCCTCATGTTTAGTATACAGACAGCGTACTCATTCTCAATCCATAGACTATCCCGCCGACATCGCCAACGATCTCAAAGACGTCGACCTTCCACAGCGCATCAAGGAAGAAGTATATGCATGCGCATGGGAGTACGCACGTTGCGTGATTCCTCAATACACCAATTGGAATCGCTATGTGGCCTTCATGCGTGTTATCGTCATCGGTATCGTCGCGGAGTGCAAAGGCGATTTGGTGCAGGTGTCACTTGACGACAATCTTCTGGGTTACAACCTCACTGCTCTTCTGGACGAGCTCTTTCAGGGCACAACTGAACAGTAAGCTGACCTGTTCTCTTTTTGCTGTATCTCGAACCTCACAGACTGATACTGATGTCATCCTATCTAGATACAGTGCGGCCATGGCTCGCGAATTCCGCTGCTTCCTTCTCATAACAGCAGACAAAGCAAGCAAACGCCGTGAAGGCCTGTTGTTCAGACGTTACGTTACCGCCCTCGCCAAGTCGCCTCGACAATGGTTCCGCATGCGCGACACAGATGCTCTGATCCGCTTTACCATGGGCGCAGCTCTGGTCTGTAACGATCTCGATGACGTACATTATACCGAAGAACAGTTCGAGGCTTTGGATGAACTCGGCGCCACTCTCTACGACAGTGTAGCCTTCTACAAACACCGGTCCGAGGGCGAGACAGTGAGTGATATCTGATCAAACGTGATGCGATGGACACAGACTGACCTGGGACTTTTAGAACTCCACGTTCGCATACGCGCCTTCCGATATCCGTATCAAGGCTTTCCACCAGTCCCGTGAGTTGCTCTGGGCTCTCGATGTTGCTTGGGCGGGCAAGCGAGAACACATGGTTATCATCAATTTCTTACGATTCTTCGGTGGTCCTATACATATGAGTAGGTTAAAATTTCCCTTCCTAATGATTTACCGTCATTAACAAAGTTCTCTAGTGATGCGTCGCTACCGGTTCATCGAAGATGGAATGATGATTGGTCGACCTGAGACTACCGCCGTCATCACACAAGCACGCCAACAGTTCAAGCTCTGGAACCGCGTCGACATGCAGGATGGCGATGCCAAGGACGTTGAGCGCTACAACCACTTAATGGCGAGAAGTGATGAGCTCATGTTCAACGGCCTCCGTGAGTTCCTCGACGCGAGCAGCGAGGATACTTGTAAGGGCTGTCAGCATCGTGAGACACATGGTGGACATACTTCTTTCTCGTTTGGTGGAATAAAGCTATGCGACGGCTGCAAGGAGTCTTGGGGTGCGTACGTCGAGTCTTTCTCGGCTCGGTTCGCGGAAGTGTTTCCGGAGATCAAAAACGTGATGACAACTTAAGTCGAGTATTGAGTCGATCAGACACGTGAAGCGCGGAAACCGGCTTTCATCAATTGCGGGATGAGCTAAAACTCACAATGGTATTACCACGCTAACCTAGGGGAAAACTGAACAGCCTAGAGCGTACGTTGACTTTAGGTCACCTCCTTTGCAAGGTTTTAGGTTAATGTAGTCTGCAGACCTGTCCAGTTTTTCCCTTATATAAGGTGTTACTGTAACTGTCCATTGACTGTTCAATCAAAAACACTCCCACGACTCCATTTACTTGCCCTCCTGATCCTCTTGCCATATATGTAGAAAACGAAAGGCACTGGGATAAGCAGTGCCGCGAATCCACCAGTAATACTACTCGCGGGACCTACTCCAACGTTGTGATACAGCGGCGTCACTACCAATGGAAAAGCGCCCGCAAAGGCGCTTCGAAGAAAAGTGTTCGCTGCTACTGCACTCGCTGCATACAACGTAAATGTGTCGACCAGGTAATTCAGGGCAGCTTGGAAGATCGTAAAGAAACCGGTTCCCAGCAATACCAGCCCAATGACGGGAGCGATCCAATGGTATTGAGGGTCCGCTGTCCAGCCCAGGATGAACTGACCGGCGGAGAAGAGTACCGAGCCGAGCATCATTGGTGGCAGACGCGCTTCCGGAACGGCACGATTACCAGCTGCACGATAGACTTTGTTGTAAAGAAGTTGGTTATAGGCGTTGATGCTGCAGCCGATGATTGCGCCGACCAAGATACCCAGGAAAGGCAGCGTTGCGCTTACAGCTGGCCATCCCCTCATTTCGCCAAAGATTATGGGAATGCCTGAACGTGTCAGTACGTGTCTCACATTCAGTTTGTACAGCGATATCTCTTACCTCCCAGCATCATGTATAGAATTCCGTAGCAAAAGCTAGCGTAGAGTGCAACAAGAAAACAGATAGGTGTCATCAGGAGCTGCAGTGGCCGGAGAAGGAATTTCTTAGACAATTCTTTGATGCTGACATCCCACTCCTCGAACTTCGTGTGGAGGGCCCAATTGCCGGTTTCGTGCCGCAGGCGACGTGCTTTGTAGACGAGGAGTTTCGGTGGGTAGCATTCGTCGATGAAAATGATGTCGATGAACAGAATGGTTGCCTGAAGTATACCCGTGAAGTATTCGGTCCAACGCCAGCCAAGTGATGGATTGGCGACAAAAGCTGCTGAGACAATTGGCCCTAGACACGGTCCTCCGACGACCGCCATAGCGTAACCTGCCATGGCTAAGGCCCTCCATGCCGGACTATACAGATCTCCCAATACACCACCGGTATTCGTAACCGGAGCGCTAGCAAAGAAGGCACCGAAGAACCTTGTAATCATCAGTGTCTGAAAGTCCTTTGCTACAGCACTACCGAAGCTAAAGCAGATGGCAATGAACATGGGCGTTAAAACTGCCAAACGTCTCCCGTAGACTTCGGAGAGGGGAGCCCAGAGAAGCGGACCAAGTCCAAATCCAAACAGGAAGAGCGTAGTGCCCAACACCGCGACCTGGTTTCCTACGTCGAACTCGGCTGCTATCTGTCGCGTACCTGCAGAATATGCAGAAGAAGCCCATGTCGCGCTCATAGTCGTGAGGCCATACATCATGGTCGTTGTGATCTTCTTCTTTGTGGGCCAGTTCATGGGGCGATAAGGATCGTCTTCGCCCTCAAAATCTACTAGCACATCTGCAGTGGTCTGCTGGTGCGCCAGAGGATGGGAAAATGGCGCAACATTCGGTCGTGTACGTATTCGTGAAAGTGCGGTGTCGCGTCTAGATATTGTCCGGCTCAAAGGCTGATTCATACCACTCGCCGTGGCTGTCGCTCTTCTGTCTCTTGGTAGACTGCGTCTGCTGCGTGATCGCGAAATGCTTTCTTGAAGTTCTCTTCCCGATGGACGGTGGCCGTCATGATCGGCATCCTTCTCTTCCTCATATTCCGACGAAGAATCGGATGTTGATTCGCTCCGCTGTCTTGGTCTTGATCGCCTTCCACTCTCAAGATCTACGTCTGTGTGTGGTGTCGAAGTGGGATTCGTGTCTGATGATCGTTCGTCTTTAGAATCCATGATTCCAGTAGTTCATATCTTGTCGCTTTCCTCAACGGTTTATTCTGGGATGCTTAAATATAAACTACGATCCCTGTTCTTGGTGCAGCTCGAAGAATGAGAAAGATTGCCGGAAACGTGGCAAGTGCCGGACGCCTTTATGATGCTAAAGCCGTCAGCAACAATAGGGCGAGGAATTGATAGAACATCAGTAACGCTAAGTAATGACAGATGCCACAAAATTCGACTACCGTTGGGTATCTCCGGTCAATATGACGTAGATTTTGCGTACTAATGAGCTGCGCTAACCTCAAACGGTATAGTACATTCATTGCTCGGCCTTCTCGAGGTGTTATTCCCAGACCTCAGTTCGGATAAATCTCCGGCTGACAGATTTTCAACAAGTATCGCTCGCACGAAGACAATGTGTAACAGTCGAGAAAGACGCGTGCGCACCGTGAACGCCCCATTTCTGGTGACGCGACAACAATGACGTAACGACTTGCAGCAAAGACGTGCAACGTCCTTCCGCCAGCTCTTCATTACTTCTATAGTACGTAAGAAATATAAAACCTGGAATTGAGACATTCTGGGTACATGGCTAATATTACTGGTATTACTCGACAAATAGTTTTCATCTACCTATCCAGATAGGTCATTAAGTACCTAGGTTTTCTTACAAAGCTCCAGGGGTGTTCTTAATGGCCTGAGCAGCAGCCTCGCAGTCCTCGCCTAGCGGAACAACAGCGCCATATCCGACAGCCTGTCCACAGCCAGTGAAGCCATAAACTCCCTGGTAGAATCCGGAACCATCTGGACTGGCCTTTTGCAAGGTAGCAGAGAATACATTGGCACCCGCTGAAGGACCAAGGGTTACGTTGCCCGAGCGGTAAGTTGGCTGTGCGGTGGCGTTGTTAAAGAAGTAGACGTTGCGCTGGCACTTGGGTGAAAGGAGGCTTCCCACACTGCCGAGCAAGAAAGGCTGGTTGACCATGCTTTTCCACATGTCGAGGGAGTATTTGGGTGCTGCTTGGTTGGGTTCGCTGACGAACTTGAGATCGATCGCCTCGGAGTACAGGCCAGGACCGCTGACAGGGTTGGGTGCCTGTGCCCACTTCGAGTTGATGCCGAAAGATCCATCCCTGTATGATTGGAATGGTGCATTGAGTGGTAGAAATGCGCCGATTCTGGTTTGGATACCGCCTATAGTAGCTAAAAGATTGCGCGTTAGCTATAACCCACAGGCTGGACTCAGTTTGCGTCAGTTGCTTACCAACTAGAGATGGAACAAGGCCGGCAACGTAACCCTGGGTTACTTCGTCCACACCGGCAAGGTGCGACACGAGGGGCGCATTGAGTGGTGTCTTGGAGCTACCGACGCCGACATAGGGGATCATAGAGCTGGCGGTCATTAATCCTGTAGCAAGCTGGAGGCCGCCCTGGCGAATATCGGTGTTGGCTCCGGCGTTAACGATGACCGGGTGCATGCCCTCGGGAAATTTCAGCTCTTCGGGAAGAGATAGCAGATTTAGTCCGCCTAGGTTGACCAAGCTCGAGAACGACTCCTTGAGGGCCTTCATGACAGCATCCTTGGGCACCGGAACAAGGAACCAGTCTGCAGACTGTATCAGTACAAGATTTCCTTACTGTCCAGAGAATTCACACTTACTGCTGGTCGCACTCATAGTGCGATCTTGCTGATTGTAGATGGCAACCTCATTTGGGCACGTTGTGCTTTGGCCAGCGACGAGGCTCGCGGCAGCAAGCAGTATTTGGAAGAAGAAGCGTGCCATGGTGTAGCTGTTGGTTCAGGTGGATGGTTGAGAAGAGAGCGGTCTTACGGTGGCATAGGCCCGTTATATACAAAGATGCGTTCTCGTTTGGGATCGTCATCATACCCACGTAGACTAACATGGTGCTTTGCATCACAACAATGACTCTGTAGCTCTATCAGTGCCTTGCTTCCGAGCCTGACCGTAGCATCCGGAGCGATTGGGCGCTCTGGACATTGAGATCGACTGCCAGCATTCCCATGTGCTCATTCGGTGGGATGGACAGCACGGCTCCTGTTCTCTGCGCTAGCCATCAATTAGGTTTCAGTTCGCCCCATTTCGGTTTTTAATGAACCCACTTGTAAATCAGGCTAGCTACAAGTAATCGCTCGGCACAAGAAGATCAACGATCGTCGGTACCAGCGCTTCCGGTCCGCTCCAATCCTTTCCAGAAGGACTCTTACATTGCGCGGCTACGAAGCTCCCGAAGAACGGAACCTGTGTGATACGGGCTACCTGACTCAACTCATCTGTCTGAGCGTTTTGTTATACAACCAAACACAATGATGCTATTAAACGGTATGATACTTGTGTGATCACTCGAGACTTGATATTCTTGTATTTGAGATACCCCTATTACGATGTAATCACAAAACCATGCGGCCACTTCCAGGTATGCGTGAGAGCTTACTCAAATGAGTACACTCTAGCGCTTATGGTATGCTATGGGAGATGACGACGTGAAGCAATTTAGAGTTTTCTTGTTCAGGAACAGGAAACTTGAAAGAACGTAGAGCGATGCGGATGGCGCTAAGCTTTATCTTCCGATAAACGTCTTCCAACTGGTATCATGTGTTTTGATTTTGCACGGCTTCATGACGAACATGCGCAAATCGAATTATCAGCCTCATGACCCTCGAAGTTGACCGTGCAGATGTCTGCATGCTTTACCGGATCGTATTTTCCTTGAAGCGGTATTCAACTCTTCCAAGGTTGACCACCCTTTCACGATGATGACACGAAAAAACTTGGCAGGTAGCATTTCTGGTACCTGGGTAGATAGTCAGCGCGCTCACCACCTTGAATGCGATGTCTACGTAGACGGAGAGTTCGAAGGAAGGGACAGAATGCCATGATCGCTCGGTTAATGCAGCCCTCCCCACACGCGCCCAGGTGGCTTGCGGGACGTGTATGTATGCCAAGCCACTAGCACACGCCTCCAACGCGCGCGAACTTCCTTGAAGCGTGACGTTTGCGGTTCCTCAGCCTTGTCGCACCTTCTCATTCTCCCTTACTTATCATTCTTTTGGCCGCTTGTACAGGCGCATATGTTCAGCAGTTCTATGCGACTCTACTCCCGCTATTTTTATTACCATTGAGCACAGCACCCGGCCATGACAGATTACAGCAAACAGACAGTCGCGCAACTGCGGCAGGTGTTGAAGGACCGGAGTATACCCAGCACCGGCTTGACACGAAAGGCGCAAATTATCGAGAAGCTCCAGGAGGCCGACCTCGCTGCTGAGACTCCCAATGCGCCAGACGAGGGTACCGAAAGCGCAGACGCGCCGCCGGATGCGGTAGAGCAGGTGAATACCGAAGTTGGCGACGACACTGCCATCAAAGAGCAAGTCCCTGGACCAGCGCTCTCTGAGGCTGGAGGTATGCGCACTATGAGTACATCGCTGCCGCTAGATGCTGACCCGAGTCTAGAAGCAGAGCAGCCTACACACGAAGCCGAGCCAGAGCCTCGACCCGTACCCGCAGCGACTACCGATTCCCTTCCCGAGACAATTTCGCACATTGACAGCGATATTCCTCCACCAGACGAGATTAAAGCAATAGAGCGGCCTGCCGAGGACACAACCAATGCGGAGGAGCCCGGCTCAATACAACCGGCGGGAGTCTTCAATGCACCGCCCGCAGATGCCGACGATGTGGTTGGCCCAACCGTGACGGAGCCTACGGATGCGGAAGTTGGAGACGTAAAGAAGGTCGAAGTCGCAGAGGGCGAGCTGCCAGATGCTCCAGGACCGGCTGCTGAAGCTCTGCGGTTGGCGCAGCCAACGTCTGGACTCCCCGAAGATTTGCGAGACACGAGCATCGACGCGAAGACAGCTTCACCTGTGTCGAATGAGCAACAATCCGTTGAGAAGCCGGAATTGCTTACCGTTCCAGAGCCCTCGACGACGGAAACATCGAGGCTCAACACGGAAGAAGTAGAAACAGACTCGAAGAAGAGAAAGAGGAGGAGTGACACCCCCGAGATGGCGGACCAGGAAATCAAGGCAAAGAAGCACAGGCCCAGCCAGGAACCGGCGCCTGGCGTTCACTTGCAGGAAGACGAGGACACCGTCATGGAGCAAAGAAGATCGGAGGAAGAGACCGCACCTTTAGCAAATGGCAATCCAACCGAAACAAACGACACTCGCTCTATACCAGCCGGGGAGGATCCGCCAGTTGTGGAGACTGACACAAGACGCGAGAAAAAGGAAAAGGCCTCTCGGTACAAAGACCTCATGAAATCCAACGCAGACGACACACCCCAGGAAGCCTTGACTGATGACAGACCCACGGTACCCGCGCTCCACCCTGTGACATCTGCATTGTACATCCGCAATTTCATGCGCCCTCTGCGTCTGGAGCCACTACGAGCACACCTAATCTCTCTTGCCTCGCCGCCATCCACCTCACCGGACCCCACAATTGTGGAAACCCTTTTCCTGGACGTACTCAAGTCGCATGCGCTTGTACTCTTTAGCACTAAGACTGCTGCATCACGAGTGCGAGCATCTTTACACGGCTCCATCTGGCCACCGGAAGGTAACAGGAAAGAGCTCTGGGTCGACTTCGTCCCGGATGAGCACGTGAAGGATTGGATCAAAGAGGAAGAGGACGCTGCAGCTGCCGAGAAAGACGCTCGTGCAAACAAACGCTCACACAACCCCAAACGGTTTGAAGTCGTATATCCAGAGTCCAGTGATGGCTCTGTTGTAGCTGTATTCCAGGAAGTCGGTTCAGGCGCTCCTGCAAACGCACCACGAGGCCCACGCGCAAGCGCAGACGCACGGATGCCATCTATACAACAAGCACCAGCACCAGCACCATCGCTCCCAACAGCCTCATCGAAAGATACCCGACAGAACACTGAAGCTTCATTCAAAACACTCCACGATCTGTTCAGCTCCACAGAAGCGAAACCCCAACTCTTCTATCTCCCCGTTTCGGATGATATTTCCGATCTGAGGCTAAAGGAACTGGACGCCGAGACAAGCAGAGACTGGGCACCTGGCCAGACGAGGAAGGGGCGGGGCATCAAGACAGAGGTGAAGTACAAATACAGTTTTGACGACGATGACAGGGTTGTCGAAGTTGGTGAAGAGCGCCCTGACTACAGAGGTGGCAGAGGCGGTAGTGGCTACAGAGGGCGAGGGAGGGGTGGATATAGAGGGAGAGGGGCAGACATTTGGAGAGGATAATTTACCCGAAGGGATGCAATCTTTGTGTGAGAAATATCGAAAGTCGAAGAACCGGGCCAGGTGCTCTGCAACAAATGTTCTTGGCCAAATCCTCCTTCCCTATGTCAGGCCGCTGCTCGAAATTGCAGCAGGCAAGAACGACGGCTACGGTTTGCTGTAGCTTCTTCATTGCAATGTTCCTCCTGCACCGACCTTGTTGCGCATGGTAGGGTGGCTCCCTACGTAGTCGCATACTGATTTCCTCACTCAATTCGCACAACTGACGACAATGGCCGCCCGGTGTCCAGGCGATCAGCTCACGAGCGACCTCATCGCCGAACAGGCTTTGCCCTTTGGCCATAAAGATATCACCTTCCACCTGCTGACTCTAAATGTCTGCTGCACTCTGGCGTCATTGGCGATTGGGGTTTCCGTCTTCCACATCATGCAACACGCACTGCACTACCGACACCCACACGAACAAAAACATATTATACGTATCCTCTTCGTCATTCCGGTCTACGCGTGGACCACATTGCTCTCTTATGTGTTCTACAGAAGGGCTGTCTATTGTGAGCTTGTCCGCGAATGCTACTCCGCTTATGCTGTCGCGAGCTTTTTCACGCTTATGTGTCATTATATTGCACCTGATCTCCATGAGCAGAAAGAGTACTTTCGCCACGTCGAACCGAAGAATTGGGGTTGGCCGTTGAATTGGTTCCAGAAGCTGACCGGCGGCGAGCACAAAGGGTTGCTGAGGAGGCCGAGGAGCGGCATTACCTGGTTTAATGTAAGTGATGGCCTAGCCTGTATTCTTTGAGAGGTTACTGATCATCCGCAGATCAACTACATCGGGATATTTCAATACGTCGTTCTTCGTACCATCGTAACAACCGTAGCCGTCATCACGTCATCCCTCGGTCAATTCTGCAAAGGAAGTCATAACGTACGCTACGCTTCGCTATGGACTGCCATCTTTGATGCACTCTCTGTTCTTGTTGCGATGTATTGCCTACATCAGATCTACGGGCAGCTCAAAGAAGATCTCGCACCCAACAGGCCCGTCTTCAAGATGGTTTGCGTCAAGCTTATCGTCTTCTTTACTTATTGGCAAACATGGCTCATCTCGCTGCTCATTCAATACAGAGCACTGCGACCTACGCGCTTCATTGCTGAACTGGATCTTCATGTCGGAATTACCTGTCTGCTTACATGCACTGAGACTTTGGTTTTTGCTGTCCTGCATTACTGGGCGTTCCCATGGAGGCCCTACAAGATCGATCGGCTTCCGAAGTTCCCTGAACAAAGATACGAGTGTGGACCCAATGAAGCTTTGGTGGAGGTACTGAATCCTTGGGATTATTGCTGCGCCGCTGCTCGCGGCTTCCGTTGGCTATTCCATGGCATCCACTTTCGGAACGAGAGCGTAGCCTACAAGTCCGATTGCAAAACTTATGGTCCCAGGACTCGAGGCGGCACGCAGTCAGAGCCACTACACGATGGATCGAAGAACAGTTGGAGGTGCAAAGAGAAGGATCGCAAAACAGCTTGATAGGCTCGCGGACTGCGTACATGACCTTGAAAAGAAACAACCGGGAGGCGTCCAGGAAAGATTGAAAGGCTACACCAAGTATGCAGAATTAGGAATGGTCAAACTTGTATCTGGACAGCAATATAAAACAGGAATACTGAGAGAATTTCCTTCTTATCACAGCCCTTTGCAACGTTGTGAAGCTTTGGAATTATGAAGGCGTTAGGTCGCCGACGGGCGGCGTAGCGCTTACATAACACCAATGAAGCTCGGGACGATCTTCACCAGCACCACAGCTACGGCTCTCGTCCCTCAGACTTCGCAATCCCGTAAATCCCCAATGTGTCCAGGTTCCCCACAGCAAATCCTTCTGGTGCCCGTGAGACAGTTAGCGTCGCTGCTAACGTCTGCACGCGACTGCGGCTAGCTTCCGCGTGCCTGGTATTTGAGTCGGCCTGCCCGCATCGAGCGCGTTCCGTTCCTCGATGCGATCGCTTCGCACGCTCGCTCGCCCTCAGCCTGAGCACAGCACAACATGCCGTCTAAATCACGTGGACTGAGGACCTCGACAGGGTGGTAAGTTCACGCAGATCAAGCATGCATTAATTACTGTGAAAGCAGAAGCTCGAACCTCTCTATGCACAGCAGCATTGTAAGCGCAATGCTAACAAGTGGACAGCTTGACATGCCGCAAGCGCAAGGTCAAGTGCGACGAAAGCCATCCAAGTTGCAAAAACTGCGAGAGAGTCCAAAGAGAATGTGTATATGCTGAGAGGACCCCAACACCCCGACGCCCGCGAGCACTAAGTGCGCGTGACGTCGACGTGACCGCAGCTATTGGGGACTCAGCGCCATCAAACAATGAGACCGAGCCTGGGTCTGTAAGCATTCCAACGCTAGGTTCAGAGCCTGTGGAGCCTTTACAGTCGTGGCCCTCATTCCCCGCAGAACCGCCGGGGCTCACTGAAAGTATACTACCAAACGATGATTTCTTCCTTGACGACAGTCTTTTCACCTTCGGGGAAAGCTTGGCGCCTAATTTTGGACCTGTCGAATGGTAACATCGACCCGCTTATTGAGATTGACATTGGCTAAGATCTGATAGGTATGATCTACTGGCGGAAGACGCGATCAACAGTATGCAAGGGCAAACGAATAGCAATCGCTGGAATTTCGATATTGCAAGTTTGTCAAGAAGACAGTCCCCTCGGCAATCCGTCGCTCTAGCAGGCGATGATGACCCTTTTGGTAGCGTCAACGTTCACACAGTCGCGATAGCCGAGCAACCATGGAATACGGAAGCAAGGATTGAGTTGAAGCGGCAAGAGCTGACGTACTTTGAACATTATGTCAGTGATGTAGCACCGATCTTGGATCTTTTCGACCCTGCGAAACACTTTGCGAACGTTGTTCCCCACCTCGCCTTGCATAACGTAGGTCTGCTCAAGTCCTTGTTGGCAGTCGGTGCTTGTCATATGGCCCTATCCCAGGATCAGGATGTCGGCAATGAGGCTGCTTCTCAGGTTCAACCCGGTACGCCCGCTTCGTCTTCTAGCGCATCGTCCACTCCACGAAGGGCTGCCGAACAACTGTACTATGAGACACTGCAGTATCTGTCGCAGAATATATGGCATCAGTCATATACCAACTCTCGCGAAATATTGGTCACTGCTACAATGATCTCGACATATGGTAAGCAATATTTCCATGCAGATAACGTGTGCGAAAGGTACTAATTATATGTACCAATTCGTAGAAATGTTTGGTACAGCTGGTAATCCCGATCACAGCAATTGGGATCGTCATCTGAGGGGAGCTTTTTGGATACAAAAGAACGCAGGCGCAAGCGGCGAGTCTCCCGATAGTCTGCAACGTGCAGTTTGGTGGGCTTGGCTGCGGCAAGACATCTGGGCAGCTTTCCGTACTGGACGACCAGCACTGACAATACATCAGCCCAAGGTACCAATGGTGGAACTCACGTCGGAAGGACTGGCGACACGCATCATATATATCGCCGCAAAATGTGTCCAGTTCGCTGCAGCGCCGAAGCAAGGAGACATAGCTGGCTACATTGAAGCAGGAGAAACACTACTACGGATGCTAGATGCATGGAAAAGTCTCCTTCCATCAAGCTTCGAGCCCATACCTGTGGAGACTGGACCCACCGCATCTTCTCCAAGTTCGACCCTTGACGCGAAGCCGACGCCGATATGGATACACCCTCCTGCACATGCCGCTGCTATCCAGACCTACCACTTTGCGCGAATAATTATGATTCTCAACCAGCCAACGACAGGAGGTCTCAACACGTATCAAACTCGCTTCAAGCTCCTTCGCGAAAGCACGTCGACAATATGTGGGATTGCTTTGGCGCAGCAATCGCAAAACTCCCCTTCGGCCTTTGTCAGCTTCCAGGCTATCTATGCAGGTATCTATACCAGCTCTTCGTATATGTACAGATTACTGACTTGACATCAGCGGCACTCTGTATGGAGACACCAGATCGACAAGCGGAGATACTGGAGATTCTCAGATCCGTCTTGAGCATAAGCAAGTTTCCGTCGGTCTCGATACTAGATGAATTGGTCAATGTCTGGAGTGGGAAGTCACATTGATGATACTAGTCGGATGTCTTCACAATGCTACACGATTATCCATGCAATCACTCTAGGGCTTCTCGCTAGACGACGTATCCCATGCTGTACCAGAGAGGCACAGCTACAACTAGAGCAGCACATACGCGGAACCCTTGTCGCGCTTCAGACGTCACTCTGATCTTCGGAACATGACGCACAAGTCTGGGGCCTTGCCGACGAAGCTATATGGAGAATCGGCAGACCTGGTGGTCTCGCATCGAGCGCCAATCGGGTTTGGTTCTGGCCTGCATCGACTACGCTAGCGTATCGTACTGCCTTTTCGGGCCGTTTTGGCGGTGACCATCAACACCTTACGCAGAAAGGCTCGAATCGAGTACTAGACCGCATCACATCAAACCGGTAGGAACACTTGCTGTGGTCGTATTGCGATTTTTCCAAGTCAAGGGCCGCAAGCCTCTTACTATCACTAGGGTTCACGCAGCAAACCGATGAGAACGCTACATCAGCATTCCCGTCTCCATACCGCTTTGACAAGAGCTTGCTCAGCATGATAGCAATTGATCGTTCGAAACGCTGGCCTTCTCCTATCACCCCGATGTTCGAGAAACAGGTCAAGCAATGCCGATATGGTGGAATTGGGTTCACGGGTCTTCACTATCGGACCTCAACACTGCATCGGGGTTGCCCCTGACTTTTCAGTGACTGAGAAGTACTTCAATTTCAAGCTTTGATTAGTAGCTTTCTGTAATTGATATCCTTTCGTATAGTAGCAACAATACTTGACATCGATAGCGCACTCTTAACCCATTTCTGTCGAAGCTCTCGCTTCACATATTCTCTCATTTCGCCAAGCGCTAATACATACGAAGGATCAGATTTCTGGACGAATCCCGGATGGCAACAACTCTCCGAAATGCTGTCACATCTTTCCGGAGCAACCAGCCATGGTGACACGCACTCAACACATTCGTATTTCCTCACGTACAACAATCACTATAGGCTAAAGACTGACGTATCAGTTTACGGATATGGAAACCGTCACCTTATTGACGTCCCTTCATTCGTTGTGTTTCATGTTGCTGACGGACACGGCCGGTGCTGCACAGCGTCAGCACCTTAACAAGCGGCTGCATACCCTCCCTTTCCAGGTTTCCCCACACGGCTCCGTTTAACCTTATATTGACGGAACAACCTCATATGAACGCGATTAACTCTGCATATGCGCGATCAAAGGACATCGGCCTTGTACACCCCGGATATCCGCTCAGCGCAGCATGCAGCCGCGAACAGGAAGCAGTCAATTACACTTTGGGCGACTGCCGCCTGACTTCATCTCCCCTCACTTATACTCCTCCAGCCTTCATAAACGTCGAGCAACATCACCAGACTTCGCCTCGATATTGCGATCGCTATACTGGCATGGCATACCGCTGATTCTGCTTCTATAGCAATCTAAAATCATTCCCATGACGATGTGGGGTTAAGTGCTAATTGGACGTGCGGGTGATTACCGAAGTTGTTGTCTGTATGCCATGATGATAGCTTTACCCAGAGTACACGTCCTTATACAGACGCGAAAGATTACACTGACACATATAAAGTCTACCTGAAGGACTCGAGAGAACGAGCATCTCCTCACGAAACAACAGATTCAATCTCAACTAGTCATCTACCTGAGCTCTGCTTACCGCATTCACGATGAGGTATACGACCACTGCCACCACTCTTCTCAGCCTCGCGACCACCTTCGCGCACCCTTCGCCCTCCGTCGACCCCCTTCGTATTCTCCCACCCAACTGGTCGTTCACCATCTCCTCCATCCGCGGCCCAGGCTGTCCAGACTCCGGCAAAAACGGCACAGTCTCGCGCACCACGCGCCCAACCTTTGGCTCTAACACCGTCGATGGCAGCGAGATCTACTACTGGTACATCGCATACCCATGGATGCGTGTCGATCTCGAGGCCGGCCCCCGCCATACATGGTGCGAGACGACGCTGGCATACAAGGAGTACAAGGATTTCGATAAGACTGCTGAGGCAGAAGACTACAAGCTGAGGCTGCACAAGAACGGTACAAAGGGCATCATGACGTACGAGCTTGATGAGGGAGTGCAGGTCTACTGGGACTTTGCTTACTACGTGGGCGAAGGGGTTGGAAGAACGGAGGTACGTTGTCCATGATACTGAACCCTCCAGCAATCAGACCATGTCCTGACTCTTCCGACAGGTCGCCGATACCATTGACCTGACTGGTCCTGCTTCATCTGGCCCGTATGCTCAAGAGCACTACTCCAACATCAGTTACCCACCCGAGCTCATTCCTCAGCCTAATTGCGGAAGTGGTACGTTCACTTTCCGCACTGAGATGTGGGTACAAGGCAAGGAGGGTCAGAAGGGTGTTGTAGATAGTGAGCATTCGTACAGCGAGGTGCTTGGTGACCAATATTATGGCGCGCAGCAGGGGTTCAGTTATGATTGGGAGAAGTGCGCATAAGGGTTACAAGATGAGAGCTATGCTTGGAGATGAGAGGGGCAAGATTTACAATGGCCGCAGGGGAAAAGTTATTCGCGTTTTGGATGATCGATGTGTTCAAAGAATATCAGTCGTGTTTTCAGCATCCTTCCTGTTTTCAAACATGCTGATGTGAAGTTCACCATCAGTGAGTTTTCATCGTTGACCAGCGATCTCGGCGTGGCATTTATCACGATTACTTTGCATGATGCTATTGGGAATATCATGAGCTACACGCGTTCAGTATACAGCGCTAGAATACATTGGTCGTACATATCAATCATCGCTCTGCCAACATGTTCTTGATCTGCCGCCAGTAGCTGCCGTCTACCTCCTTCTGCAATTCGTCCTTGGCTAGCCACTTGAAGTCTTGAAGACCAAGCTTGTTCTCCTTGAGGTTGACCTGGCCGGCCATGATGCGCGCCTTCAGGAAGAAGGTCTTCGAGCCGTACTCCTTGAGATCGCCCGTGGGCTTGGGTTCGCGGTAGTCCACTTGGTGATGACCAATTGGCACGTGGCCGACCAGCCAAGTGTTCATGTTGATGCCACCGGTGTGTGTGATGATACGACTCGCTGCCTGGTAGTTGTTAGCGTCTCAGTAGATATCCGTAGGATGTGGTATTGCGTACGCCGTGCAGATTCTCCTCCTTCAAGCGATCCTGTGGGAACTGCCATTGCCCCTCCTTATTCTTAACAAGCAGATATAGCGTTCTCTGAAGCGCGCGATTCAAGCTCTTTGTGTCGTTTTTCTGATCCGCTTCTGTTATCCTCGGCATTGGCTTCTCTACGGGCTCGCGCTCCATCTTCTTTGCGCCAGTGGTGTCCGATGCGTCCTCCAGGCCAGATTGCTCAGCGTCCTCGATCAGCTTGCCAACCTGGTGTTCAAATTCGCTCTCTTGTGCTCCTACGAGGAGCTCGTCATTCCATGCTTCGTCTCCGTAGCCTTGGTATCGTCCGATGTCGCGGGCGGGGGTCAGCCGTTGCTTCATTTTCCGTTTCCATTCTAGGTCTGCAGGTGTTCGCTTCTTTACGTAGAAGTATCTTGTAAAGGGCAGCGCAAGTCGTTCGTTCAATCGTCGTTGGTACAGGAAAAAGGCCGCTTCGAAAGGGTGGAGGTCGCGTGTTATTTGCGGGGGGCGGGACAGGACGACACCTGCGTTGACGGCGTGGGATGTTGACGGCGATACCTGGGCAACGGGAGGAATGTGTTGGGCGACTTGGTCCTCGGTTTGGACGGCGGCGGCGGCAGCGGATGCATATGTGCGGGCGACGGTGTCTCTACATGAGCGACATATTGATTGACCTTCGTTCGTCAGCGCTCCAGTTGCCTCTAGCCCCAATTGCATCCCATACCGGCTCTTGAGGCCAATCGCCTCGTTGTCTGCTGTCCGGCGTTCATTTCTCCCAGTGCCCTCCGCGGTATCTCGATGCAGCCGCTGCCATCTCGAGATCTCAGAAAAGTTCGGGGAGCGGAGGTGCATTGGGTCTAGCGGCATTACCTAAGCAGATATTCCGAGTTAACTTTTCTTCGGCGCGAACACCATCTCTTCTTCTCTACGGCACCTATCCTTATCCCCAGCATACTCGCACTGTCATGAGATCCTGGTCATTTAACGGTGCCTAGAGGGAGTCGAGCAGTCTTTTTCGCTAGCGGTACCTTCACAAATCCTAAGGTGTACGGCTAGATAGATTTTGCTTACATTCTTACGCGCTCAAGGACCTTATACGCTTGCATGCTTATCTATGTGACGATGTTATGTTTAAAACGGCACAACAGTCAGCTTATCCGCTGGCTCATGCGTTGCATGCGTCTATGTATGCTTTCAAGCAGAGCGGTCTTAGGTGTACCGTAACTATCGGCAGAATAACGTTGGCGGCTGATAACTTCACGCGCCTTTGCCCCCGTTCCAACTCCCGAGAGGGCGCACGATTAAAGACCCAAGTGACGTAGCGTAGCTGTACACATCATCTCAATATATCACATCTGATACCTTACTCCCGGGACAGTTGAAGGTGCATTATCGGTGTTTCCTTCCCCCGATCTCCAAGTCTTGGCATCGAAATTTGGGACTGGACGCGTTCTCGCCGCGCAGAGCTTAGACGCAGGCACACCACCACAACCCTGATACCCCTCACACGCCGCCAACATGTCTCTCACGATACCCAACGCTCCTAACGCCGGCTTATTCAAGCAGGGTTACCAGAAGTATGGCCCTTTGCAACCCCGCAATCACAGTAAACAACCAGCTAACCACCCCGCAACAGCTACGACGCCGAAGATGGCGCTGTTATTCGCAACATCGACGCCTGCCGGACGATTGCCCAGACCGTTCAGACCTCTCTCGGGCCCTATGGACGCAACAAGATCGTCATAAACCACCTTCAGAAAATGATCCTTACCTCAGACGCGGCGACGATACTGCGAGAACTCGAGGTTGTACACCCTGCGGCGAAGCTTCTCGTCATGGCCAGCCAGCAACAAGAGGCAGAGATGGGTGATGCGACAAATCTGGTCATCGTCCTGGCCGGCGAGCTGCTGAAGAAGGCGGAGGAGTTAATACGGATGGGCCTGAAGACAAGTGACATTGTCTTGGGTTACGAGAAGGCACAGCTTGCGGCTCTGCAGACACTGGAGGGTATGTTACGCACGTGAAGTGGCAGCTGAATGGAGGCTAATCTATCGCAGAGCTGGTATGCGACAAAGTCGAAGACATCCGCTCGCAGCAAGAACTCAGCAAAGCTATCCGCACCGTAGTCGCAGCCAAGCAGTCGGGCAGCGAAGACTTCCTCGCTGACCTTGTCGCCGAAGCCGTCCTCGCCGTCCTCCCCAAGAACCCCGTCAACTTCAATGTCGACAACGTCCGCGTAGTAAAGATCATGGGTGGTGCCCTGGAGCAGAGCAAGGTCGTCAAGGGCATGGTCTTCGCAAGACAGCCAGACGGTACTGTCACAAAGGCGACAAAGGCCAAGGTCGGAGTCTTCTCATGTCCTATCGACATTTCCCAGACTGAGACCAAGGGCACGGTACTATTGCACAACGCAAAGGAGATGATGGACTTCACAAAGGGCGAGGAGCAGCAGGTGGAGCAGGTCATCAAGGAGCTCCACGACTCCGGTATGAGGGTCGTCGTTGCTGGCTCGACCATCGGAGAGCTGGCCCTCCACTACCTCAACCGCTACAACATCCTCGTCATCAAGGTTCTCTCCAAATTCGAGCTTCGACGGTTATGCAGGGTAGTCGGTGCTACGCCGCTCGCTCGTCTCGGTGCACCTATGCCAGATGAGATGGGTACTATCGACGTCGTCGAGACACTGGAAATTGGCGGTGACCGCGTCACAGTATTCAGACAGGAGAATGAGCAGACACGGACCGCGACTCTGGTTCTACGCGGCGCTACTCAGAACCACCTCGACGACGTTGAGCGGGCGATTGACGACGGTGTCAACGTGGTCAAGGCCATCACCCGTGATCCTCGACTGGTCCCAGGTGCTGGAGCAACAGAGATGCAGCTTGTTGAGAAGATCAAGGCCATTGCGGACAAGACATCCGGTCTGGCGCAATACTCTATCCGCAAGTACGCTGAAGCTTTCGAGGTCATTCCACGAACTCTCGCAGAGTCAGCCGGTCTGGACGCAACTGAGGTTCTCGCCAAGCTGTACGTCGCACACGCTGCACAGAAAGGCAGGAAAGACGACGAGTGGACTGTCGGTGTCGATATTGAGAACGACGACAACACCGGTACACTCGATGCCAAGGAAGAAGGCATTCTCGATCTCTGGGTCAGCAAGATGTGGGCCATTAAGCTCGCTACCGAGGCTGCGAGGACGGTTCTCAGTGTCGACCAGATCATTGTCGCAAGGCAAGCTGGTGGACCCAAGATGCCTGGAAAGGCGCAGCCGGGCAACTGGGACCAAGATGATTAAACTCCGTTGCCGGTATGAGGGGTAGTGTATAATGACATCGACTAGACGCTATTGAAGCACCAGACGAATGATATCTTCGTTCTACCTCACCGGGTTTCGGCTGTTCACGTGTCACGTATATCATGGTATGGAACTACCGAATGCTTCTGAGCGAACCCGACCAACTATGGAGCTGATGTGATCATTTGTCCGGCTTCTCGGGCACTCGTGGGGTTGTCTCTAACATGATGTCTCTTCGACCCAAGCTACCAAAACCCAGAGCTCGTGCCAGGATGTTGGTCCGTTGGCTTTCATTGGATTACGAACATGAGGTTTGTTTTTCTTCTTCAGCTCAGTTCTGAGCTCACATACGGTCCTTGTGTGGTCTTACTTTGATCCTGGTCTAGCTGGAAACTTGCAGTAGCAGTCCAATCAATCCTCGCCGCGGAAGCGGCCTTATCTACCCCTCGTTGATTCTGAACGCAATCCTTCAGCCAAGAGCATGCAGAGTTTATCGATTCTTGCTCTAGCATTACAGCTATGTCAACCCTTACTGCAGACTTGCCCAGGGCCTGGTTGGCATGAACAGCAGACGTTGCTACCCGAGATGCATGATGCATCGGCACCCAGCTCCCACTCCCGCTGCTTCCATAGATCACGCGGTCCGTGTTTCGCGCTTGGCCCGACAGAGGCATGATCCGCGACAATGATGCAGCAGGATGCTGGGTGAACGCGACAGATCGCTTTCCTCTTTGTTCTTCCAGTATTCTTCTATAAGCATAATTTCCACGGAAGTGCCGAATCGCTTGGCGTCTGGCGAAGTATAAAAAGCCGCCCCTTTCGCCTTGATCCACCGGTACGCCACATTTCTTGTGATTTTCCACATATCGCTCTTCACTTGATCAACCTACACGCGTCAATACCGAACACATCTACTGAGCATTTCGCTCAATGCGCAGGTCGTAAACTGTGATATGGTCTTCAAATCTAAGTAGCCCTGTTTTACTAACTGTTCGATAGTCGAGAACATCATCAACGCCATCTTGCCGAGCACAATATTCCATTCATCGCTCTACAATATCTCGCTGTGAGTTCCCTACCTACACCATCCCCCATCACCACATATCCACATATCTACATACCCCCATCTCCCATCTCCACACCACCACATCTCCCCAAAGCCGGTCTCAACCCCTACGCCTCACGGTGCAGGTCTTTTGGTGTTAAAAATTATTTGTCACTTATTGTTACTCCAATGGAACGACTATAATCTCAAGATTATCTAGACTTAGACATCATTCCGCTTGAACCTCCATTGAGGATCGCGATGAGAACGGCATACTTGTCGATCTGTCAGTCTAGGACGTTCAGCAGCCACTACGATGGGTCCAGTCGTCTCTGTGTTTATCGATCTGCATGCATAATGCATTGATTGGAACTTGAGATGAGAGGTACCAGTCGTGTCTTCTGCTGAACTCGTCGTTCACTCAATGTTATTTGATCTTTCAAAGATCTATCAATGACCTCGTCGATACATCGTTATCACGTTGTCGCCACATCAATGTTACATATCATTTGATAGTATTCTTTTTGAATATTATCATCTGCTCGTCACGAGGTGGTAGTATCTCGCTTGTTGACCGGCAGCGAGATATTATCATCTCTGGCAAACAAAGTCAGCACTCTTGAACGCCTTCAAGCGTATAGAGAAACCGACTGACCGATATAGATTGCCTGGTATGCAATCTCCAATCTCTTCTATGCGCTTAAAGCTAACATTCTATAGAAGCTCCCTCTTACGCATCCACAGAAATCACCATGCGATATTCCCTTCCGCAGCAAAATGCGGCCCTTGGTCCTAAGGGTTCAATCAGACTTCCGGCGACTAGAAGGAAGGCAATGAATTCGGTCACGCCCATTCGCAACGCCAGTGGGGTTCAGAAGGGTTGGAAAAGGTCCGCTTCAACCAGGACCCACCCCAGGTTCCCAGTGGATGGTGCTCTCGATAAATTCAACTTCTCCATGCAAGAGGACGATGGCGCTAGCGACCATGGCGAGGTAGGTATAGAGGGGGAGATCCGTGTGAGCTGCCCATTTCACAAGCATGATCCGAAGGCGCACCAGTTATCATCGTGCAAAGGGAAGGGATATCTTGAGCTTGCCAAGTTGAAGTATGTCTGCGTTCAAAATCAGCACTCTTCACCGGCTTGGGTTCTAACACACAGCAGAGATCATTTAAAACAGGTACACGGGTTATCGCTGGAACGCCTCAATGCCGATTTCAACTTTAAGAATGGAGAATACCGTAATCTGAGGACACTAGAGGAGAAGTGGAGATTGGTTTACCGCCGCTTATTTCCCGAAGAGGCCGAAGATTCCATACCTTTGCCTTACGCCAACGAAGATCGTGACCAGTATGATGGACTACTCTCCGAGCTTGTGAGCGTTGCGGGTCGCCGAACAATGGGAGAGAAAGCCTTTCGAGACGGGGTCCTCGATTTTGCGCGCAGGTTCGTACAGGAACGTCACTCTGCAAGATCGAAATCAGTCGATTCGGCAGTGGATACCATGACGAATC